GGGGGGAGGGGGGTATAAAATTACTATAAATTGGTTTCAAAGGGGCTAAAGGGTTTTAAAGGGGGATGCCTTGGTGTGATTCTGTTATTTTCTTTTTTATCGCCGATTCCATGAGGAATTCTAATGTGACCCTCAGCCACAAGTCGTTTGTATTGCAATTCTACACAACATTTTTTTCGAATTCATTTATTTATTTATTTACTTCTTGCGCTGGGGCTGCCCGGAACCGTGCCCAGGGGTCATGCCCGGCCGGGCACCCGGGTGTGTACCCGGGCATGCCCGGGCGCCCAAAAAACAGCACCTAGGGGGAAAGAAGAAAAAAAAAATGGAAAAGAAGAAAAAAAAAAGACCACCACAAATCCAGGCATGTCAAAGAGAAGTCCACAAATCAAGACAAGACTGTACCGCCCATATGAGTCACTCAATCCGGCCGTTGGGGCGAAACACTAGCTGACCCATCAGAAAAAAGTTCAAAAAACTTCAAAAAAGTTAAGAAATCCAGGCAAGCCAGAAAGAAGTCTGCAAGTCTGGACCCAGGGAGTTGTCTCGGTCCAGATGAATCCAGATAAGTGTGAATTGTCTAGAGGGGGGGGAGGGTCTCCTCTGCAGAGAATGGTGGTCAGTTGGAAACAGTGAAAACTGCGCAACAGCAGCATGGCACAGACCAAGCAAAGGCAGCACCCGCATTTGTTCTCCGCTGCAGAACACGCTTGGTGTCTGATCTATTGCCAGATTGGAGACAAGGGCACAACAGGAAAAGAAAAGCAGAGGCCATTGCTCTTATTGAACATTTAAGACCAAAGGTTGCTTCATATCTGACATAGAACCGACTCTCACCTCACATTTTTTAAAACTGGCGTTCCGGCATGTCATGGAACATATCTTTCTTTCAGAACCTACCTACCACTACTCCTAAGGCTATACAGGGGACCCCTGCAAGCATAGCTTTCTAGTATCTACCTCTCTTCGATGAAGGGAGGTTAGTAGGTTACCTCTCTCGGTGGAGAGAGGTAATGGCATGTTTGAGAGAGACAAACATATGGCTGTCCCCCGATGAGGAGAAGGCAGCCTTTCAAAAAAAAAAAAAAAAAGGACTCAATTCAACAAATCCAAAGAAGGCAGAAAGGGATACATGGACTTCTTTCTGAATTGTCTGCAGAGGGGGGAGGGGGGGGAGGGGGGTAAGGGTTGTGGGTGGGCTCTTCTGAACAGGTTAGTCGCAATTGGAAACCGTGAAATTTGTGTAACAGAAGCAGGACTGCCAGGACACAGACCAACCAATCAAAAGCCCCGATGCACATACATTTTTTGACTGTGGACAGTGCAGAGGGTGAAGAAGATTGAACACAAGTACTCTGCAAAGTTGAAACACTCCAAAGTTGGCAATGACGAACGCTGAAGAACTGGCAAGTCAACGGAGGAAGACGAGGAGAAAAAGAGGAGGAGGAGGAGGGTGTAAGTAGCATGTGTCTTGTATTTGCCACATGGCTTGTGCTGCGAAGGGGGGTTGGCTCAGAAATCAGAACGCGGGCCCGGTGGGTGCCTGCTAACAAGGCCCACCAGGCCCTGTTCGTCGCACCCAGCAGCTGAAAAACGTTCAGGGAGCCAACAGTGCCCTGGCAACATGCTCAGGGACGACTCCTCCGAGATCCAGGCTGCCCAGGTCACAGCCTAGGATATTACAATTTTAGGATTATAAATAATTATATAATAAAGTTAATAAACAGTAATAATTAGTATCATTAGTACAATATTTTTTTTACAATATTACAAAATTCTGATATGGGAGTGGGACCTGCACAACCTACCGCAGCTCCTGACAATCTTCCGAACAGTGTTCTGGCCTCGGGCTTGCTAGCTGCCAGGATATCGCGAATTTGCTTGCTTTCCAAATATCCGGTTGCTTCAGAAAGGAAAAAACAGTTCAATCCATTTAGAAATTGCAATAACTCAGCACAGCTAACACAGTAACAAAAATAGACTGCCAGTTTTGTACACTTCTCGTTCGCTTTGGGATAAGACTTGGGAGACATCGGGACTATTGCTCACCAACAACCCCACCCAATCACAATCTTTCCACCTCTTTCGAGAGGGGACCAAACACTTCGATTCCTGTCATACTACCGTCTGCCCCCAAGCACAACACAGTTAATATGACTGCATTGGACCGGACTTCAGCTTGTATACATTCACAATTAAGGTGCGTTGGGTTCGAGGGAAGAAGACATTCACCACTAAGGTACGTTATGTTCGACAGAAGACCGTAGTGTCCATTCAAATGCCCATAAAGTTTAAACTAGATCCTGTCATACTACCGTCTTCCCCCAAGCACAACACACAGTTAATATGACTGCATTGGACCGGACTTATAGCTTGTATACATTCACAATTAAGGTGCGATGGGTTCGAGGGAAGAAGACATTCACCACTAAGGTACGTTATGTTCGACAGAAGACCGTAGTAGATTCTGTCGTACTATCATCTTCCCCCAAAGCACAACACACAACATGGCTGCATCAGACCGTACTTATAGCTTGTATACATTCACAATTAAGGTACATTGGGTTTGAGGGAAGACATTCACAATTAAAGTGTCTTGGGCTCGAGCGAAGACATTCACAATTAAGGTGCGTTGTGTTCGACGGAAGACAGTGGTGTCGATTCCAATTCCCATAAGCTACCAGCAGCAGGAGCGATAACAGAAAAGGCGAATTAGAGAGGCCCCAAAAGGGTTGCTTAGTAGAGGACAAAACTTCATAAACACCTATATGCAGGCCTTGCCAACAAGTGTTAGCAAGATTAGAGATCACAACAATGCATTAACTAATACTACTAAATAGTAAAAACTTCAAGGAACAAAAGAAATGAGCAGAAGGATAAGAAGAACAGTGAAGGACATAAAACATTGTGCAGTGATGCCCAGGCCTCGACGAACTCTTGCATTCATTAGGAGACTATAATATAATAATTTCCCCCAAATAGAACTCGCAGTCTCGCACTGCCACAGGCATTATCACCACATGAAATCTTAAACCACCAGTACACTCGGTCCTGCAGGTGCCTTACTGCGCTCCAAGCTTTTCCTTTTTTTTTTTCTTTTTTTTTTTTTTTTCTAATGTGGTCCAATGGACCACGGATCAGATATTAAACTGATCAGAACAGATACTACACGATCTTACCGCCAGCGGCGCACTTTTTTTTTTTGGCTGGCTTGCGCCGCCAGCCATTGTGGTCCGGTAAACCGAGCCCCCAAACTTTTCATAGGTGACGAGTTTCTTTTTCAGCAAGTCTGGGGCCGTGTACTGGCGGTTTAAACCGCATACTCTACTTGTACTTTCCGACAGCAATTGCAGCCCTATTCAGTCAAGTTAGACCTGATTGTGTTGCAAGTATGCTCTCAAGCTTTTGGTTCAAATTGGTATCTGTTCCAAAGTCTTCAAATTTGAGGGTACCAGCTGCAGAGACCCACCCAGATTGCAGTAATGATGTCATATAGTTCTGTTATTCACACTTCCTCTTTTGCATCCTGTTCACGACAACAATATCAAGACGCATCCCAGTTTTTCAACGCCAGGAGGAAAAAGAACGGCATAAGCAGATCAGGCTGGAATCTGAAAGCAGAAGACATAGAAGAAGGCCAGTACACTCACGGAAGGATCAGAATAAACTCACACGAAGACACAAAATACTCTCAGAGAAGACTCAAAGAGTGCAGTAACATGGTGCCTCAAACCTTTCAAATTAGGGTGGGGTTGGGGGGAGTTCAGGGGTAGATTCGGGGTAGGTTTGCTTGTTCGGCAGTATCTAGCATGAGAGTACCATGACGCAGGTGGAAAAGTCGTCTTTGGATGAATGAATCATGGGTCCTGTGAGTGCACCCTGAATCACAAGAGTACCATGACGCAGGTGGAAAAGTCGTCTTTGGATGAATGAATCATGGACTTACTTTCTTCCGTGCAAGTGAGTAGCCGGGTGTCCACATCTCTTGGCAGCGATGCCAAAGCCTGCACCTTCTTCTGCTGTATAACTCCTAACCGCTTTCTCCACTCCGCAGGAATCTTCTTCCGATCGACAAGCCATTCTGGTCGTTACAGTGAGCGCGCACAGCAAGTCGACAACACAACGGAGATCAACAGCTATACACACCACAGCTGTGGATACATGTGGATGTACACGACACTATCTCAGATGCCAATATACATGGATACATGTGGATATATGTAGCACTATCACATCACAACGAACCGACAAAACAAAAGGTCAACAGATTGTATTATGTCAGCTTACGTACTGGAACCATCCAGCAACATTCCTCGCAAGCTGACATGCTAAAGATGAACATCTATTTCAACACCTCGCGCAGAGCAGGCCAACAATATATTCCAGCGGTTTCCCTGCAAGGCAGCCCTCCGCACATCCATGGCTCAGAATGTCCAATCCAGATTCCAAACCAGTCAGATGAGGTGTCCTTGCGCAGAACAACGTCCAGAATGTCCAAGCAGCCCTCCACATCTTGTTTGTGGGGTACACCCCCCAGGTTCTTGTGTCTTCTGTTCAGATTACGTCTTAGACGATTGACAGAGAGATCGAGAGTGTCCTCTGGCGACTATGCGGACGTGGAAAGAAAGAAGAGGAGAGAAAGCCAGCAGAGAGAAGCTGGGGGTGGCAGCGGGAGATGCAAGGATAACAAAGGGAGAGGAACGGAGTGGAGGAACAGGAGGCGAGCACAACCAAACTGGATGCAAAGTACAAGAAGCAGGCAAAAGCACAGGAGCAGGAGGATAACCAAACCAGATGTGAACCGCGCAAAGCAGCAAAAGCGCAGGAGCAGGACAACAACAAACACAAGCAGCAGCAGCAAGAGAGGGAGGACAAGACGGGGACGACGAGGAAGAGGAGGAGGAGGAGGTGGAGGAGGAGGACGTAGAGGACGTGAATAAGCATGAGGGAGAGCAGGAAGGCGCAAAGGCGGAGGCGCCGGGTGAGAAGGAACGGGTAAAGGAGGGGGAGGAAGAGGAGGACCAAAAGCAGCAGCGAAAGAGTCGGGAGAAAGAAGAGGAGCGGGAGGGTAGTTATGACCACTTCCACGAAGCATCATCCTCATCAACCATAAGCACATGTCAGTGGGCCAGGGTGTATATATACACACAAAAAATATATGTATACATATCTATCGTCAGAGACATTGTCACATATCTGTCAACTAGAAAAGCACACTTTGTGAAACAGACGACAAAAGTATGCGAGGACAAATACGAAGAGCACACTGAAACCGTTCTTTTGCTTCTTCGAATGCAGTTCTTTGTTTTCTTTTCTTACAGATGCCGCTTTTGAATGTTTCTTCTTTTAGCTCCCCCTTTACTGTGCCTCTCCCATACAAGGCCCGCAACATTGATGAAGATGATCGCAAGCTGCCCACATCCCCCTGTGCAGTTCTACGCTGTGAAAAACAGGCAGAGCAAAGGGTTAGGGGATAAACAGAGAGAGAAGATGGAAAGAAGACAAAGCAAAGGAAGACAAAAACAGAAAGTAAGGGAAAGTAAGGAGCATGGAATAAAGATGAAAGCATAGGAAAGGGTAAGAGAAGGCTCAGGAGTCGGCCTGTCCCTGATGACAGAGAGGGCATAGATTGAAAGGATAAGAATCATGAGATGCATGAGGACACAGAAGAGCTAGCTGGGCGTTCTCAGTACAATTGCCGATAGCGGGCCAACACGAAGGGAAAATGGGCACCACAAAAAAAACATCTACACACATGGCATGTCGATAGCGGGCCAACACGAAGGGAAAACGGGCACCACAAAAGACCATGCATATTCAGTTTAACGTCAATGGTCGCAAAATGGACATTTAGTGTCCAGATGCAGAGGGTGCATGCAGTCAGGAAAGGAAGAAAAGTCCTCTACGCACCCTCTGCATCTGGAGACTAACTGCACACTCTGCATCTGGACACTAAATGTCCTTCATTTGGATGCAGACACCCTCTGCATCTGGACACTAAATCCACTTGGATGCAGACACCGTCTCGTTCTAGTGATTGTGACACAGACGATGACAGCTGCAGCCAAGTGTAATAGTGTTCATAGCTGTGCAAAGGAGAAGGTCGCAGAATGTTGCCACATTGTCCTGTTGTGGCGTAGGGGCAGAGAAAAGGTCTTCCGCATAAAAGAGTATGCAGACAGTTTGCTGTGGCAAGAAAACAACTAAGAAATGAGAAACATCAGTCATGGCATGATATATATCCTTCTTCTCCCTTTCTGCCTACGAAACCACCGGGCAGTTCTCTTATACGTACATACATACTTTCAAACAGAACTTCCCCGTAAACCATAGGCAGAGAGGGAGAAGAGGACAACACAAACGAGGGGCTGTGACATATATTGTCACATTGTGAATCATATGTATCTCTGTTTGACGATATATAGATAGTCAAACAGACCTGCCCGGTAAACCGTAGGCAGAGAGGGAGGGAGAAGAGGACAACAAACGAGGGGCTGTGACAAAATGTTTCGTCGGAGTTTCACCGACTCATCAGAAGGCTGAACCCCCTCTACATATATACAGATAGATGCGGAGAGGGAGAAAAGGGCAAGAAATGGGGGCCTGTGACGGTCTTTTTTGTCAGAGTTTCACCGACTCATCAGGAGGCTGAAGCCCCTCTACAACCTGCAGGGTCTCCTAGCTGATTATACAGTATATATGCACACATAATGATACCATATACATAGAACTGCATGTGCTCCAATAGAGCACATGCTAGAGTGGCCACACTCGTCATTGTCTTCAACAGGACAGGATTGAGGGGGCACAAAAGCGAACCTGGATTTGCCTATCGGCTCTGAGAAGGAAAACGAAAAAGAGGGTAGTACAATTGTGGAAACAGCCATTGCATGCGCTTATCGTTTTCAATTTCCCCTTTCACTTTGAGCCTGTTGCACCAAATTGCTGGCCACAGGCGGCATGCAAAGCACCCTTCCATTATTGAGAAAAAAAAGAAGGGCGGGGGGGGAGCAGGGGGACCAATATTTCATCTGCTGGCAAAGCCAGTGGCAAAGGACACGCTCGCAAGTGGACATTCCTGATGGCCACGTGACGCAATATACGGTCAGATTCAGTTCAAAAGTCCAAGTACGTGTGTATGCCCTGAGGCTTCATTACGGCCCTGAAGGGAGAGGAGGGGRGGGGAGGGGAGGGAAGGGGAGGGGGAGGGTGTTTTGACCACCACCACAAAGCCACATTAACGCACCCGCAAGCTTGGAATAGATGATGTCAATTGGTAGTTCAGACTCTTGGAACTTCACACCCTCGGCGACCTTCTCCACTGTGGCCATCTCGGCAACCATCTTGGGGAACTCTCACTGTCTAAATGCAATGTCTCACAGATCTCTGTCTAAATGCGATGTCTCACAAATCTCTGCATTCACACATGCAATCTGGGTGCTCCGCTTCGATAACAGTCATCCTGCAACTTAACAACTTCCAAAGGCGAAAAGAAGTCCACGTCAGCAAGACCATTAGACCACAATTACAGTCCAATTCATCACAAAGAACCCTCTTGTGTGAGTATATAGTATACACCCTAGTTGGACCCAAAAGAAAAAGTTAATTCTGCCCCAAGTTTTGAGAGGGGCCTCGTTCCACTACTCGCCACCATTCACCACACCCCTCTACGCATTCATTCATCAAACCCTAAACCCTAATCAGTCACCAAAGTTAATTCAGAACAATTCTGCCCCATGTTTTGAGAGGGCGTCATTCCACTACTCGCCACCATTCGTCAAAACTCCTCTACTCATTCATCAAAACTCCTATACTCATTCATCAAACTCCCCTAATCATTCATCAAACGCCCCTAACCATTTACCAACCTCCGCTAACCATTTATCAACCTCCATGCCGCTAAGTGCCCTCTATGGTCCTCGCTCCCCTACTCACAAATTGTGCAAAATGAGACTGAATCTTCCGCTAGAACATGGAAACATCGCCATAACTTCTGTCTTTTGTTCATGTGATGAGTAGTAGATCGAGATCCTATGCCCGTAAGGAACTCATTCGTTTGCCGAGTGAGAGTCACTCCCCGACGTCCACACCGGAGGGTCCCTCCCGGAGGGTCCCTTAGCGGCTGCTCTTCGAGCCTTTTATAGTGCCAGAACGGTATGTTTTACCTATTTATGCAATTCTATTAGTAAACCAAATAAATTAGGAGGTGTTGCTGCAATAGGTCTTGTCTTTGTTTCACTATTTGGTATAAGAAATCCATTGAGTGCTATGGGCATGCTGGGTGTGCCATTCTCTCCACAACCGCCCTGAGTTAGTACGAACGACTTCCTTTCATTTGCCAAGTGACATGGCGGTCCTAGGCACATGGCGGTCCCAGGCACATGGTGGTCCCAGGCACATGGTTCCTTCCACTCACTCCCTGCCGTCCCTTTTGGTGGAAGGTCCCTTTTTTAGAAACTCCATTGTGTCCCATCCACATTGAGCGTCTGCCATTAGGCCTTGCTCCACTACTCACCAACTGTGCAAAATGAGAATGAATCTTCCCCTAGAACATAGGATGATACACCGCCATATTTTTTGTCCTTAGTGCATGTGGACAGTAGTGAAGTGAAGCCCATTCTCTCCACAAGCGCATTAGATCTGTGCAGGGCTACCATCTTCGCCCGAAAAGACCGCCCGGTCACAATGGCTGTATTGGGGGCAAACCTTCATCGGTCACAAT